GCGGCTTTTATTTCGCGTTTATAACATTACGTGTTCTAAAAGACACACGATATTTATTATTTAACGGTTACGTGGTGCGCACAGCACCCCGCGGGTTGCCTCCGCCGGCGACGTGGAAACAGAAATCTCATATGGATGTGGAAACTTGGTAGCAATCGTCTCTGATGAATAAAACACAGGGTACGGGACGACGGGATACGCCATGTTCTCATCATCGAGCGCCTTATAGAATAATAGCGCTCTTGACGACTCTCGCGAGTCGTAACCCAGTATATAATTTCTTTCGCGCGTCTGTAATTCCCTGAAACTGACTGACTATGCCGAGCCCGTGCATCACACCGCGCGTGTGCTGCGTGCGACCGTGCCAGAAAACTCGGAATTAAACGAGGCAGTGACGCGCAATTGATCGTGCCCGGCGTGTCATCGGTCGTGCATTTGCCCGTTCGTCAACAGTCGAAGTCTCGAGTCACGCGTGACAATAATACCCTCTTCCATCATCGGCGATGAGATATTACACTCGACAATAATACGTTGTACAGAATGAATTTTGTCACGTCAAGGAGAACGCAACCTCGCCGCTTGTTGCGATGAAAGGAAAAAAAAAGGAGAGATAATTAAGTCGATGTTCCTCGGAGCTTCGTTTACTTGTAATGCTGAGTCGCAATGTGCGATTAGGCTTTCAGCAAACCGGATTATTTCGCATCGAACATTCGCATGTCTTGCCAAAGACTTATCGTAAAGTCTCTAATTATCCGACCTGAATGAGAGCGATTGCCGTGCGAGGCTATGTACTTCTATTATTATTATCATTCGCGTTTAATATAGTGTTGCGAATGAAAGAATTGTCGCTCAGTGGTCGTTGAGAACCGCCGAGTTCGACTCGGGTGCATCATCGTGCGTCAATCAGCAAAGATTTTAGCATAGAATCGCGTGATATGGCATAAGGTACTTGAACTATCAATTATATGTATCCGTAAGACGCAAAATCCACAGAGCTCACGACTCATGTACGAGACGTGACAGCTATTAAACGATTGACCCGTGCACCCGATGAGCGCGCGCGCGCCGAGATCTGCAATCTCCCTTCCTGTGACGTAATTAACGAGGATACGCTCGCAGCTCGTAGCTACTCGTTCGTGAACTATTGTTCGACTAAAAAAAAATAATTAGCTTGTCGCGATGACTAATTATAACACGCGACGTCGAGACATCCACCGGTCATTCAATCATTTGCAATTAGACAAGTATTTGAATCCATTTTAGATAATCCGTATAATATAAATAAGATTGTTCCATTTTGAAAGAAAGAGAGAGAGAGAGAGAGAGGCTGTTAATTAAAATAATTTTTTCAATTGAAGTAACATACATTTTCTGAAATCTGTAACTTTTTATGAAAGCAATTGTTGATTCCGTTTAAATAAAAGAACTTAGATTTAAATAAAAATATAAATTTGTTATTAATACCCATCGAATAAATATTTTCTATTCTTTAGATATTTTTTCTCTCAGGTAATTCACGGATAAAATCAGGAAAAAAATCTATATAATTTAGTCCGTATCGCATAATATGGAATAAATATGAATATTTATAAATTTTGCGAATATAATTCTGGTTTATTAAATACTTTCTCTCACGGGTGAAATTTTATTCTTGGACTTGAACACGAATCATCGATCGTGTTTAGAGCGAATTCTGCTGATGAATACTGCATCATCGTGCTGCAGATGCTTGATTCAAGTTACTCTCGATAAATGTTCGTGTATCACTGGAGCTAGTTCCTTCGATGCATATTTCTCGGGCTCGCACTTTCAACCTTCGACCAGCACACGTGATGTCGATATAGCTATTTGTTTGCAATTTTCGCGCTGGAATAACATTATCGAGTAATGTAGTTACATCTAACGCGCGACGTATAAATTGCCATGTGCTACATTGAACATATTGAGGCATAATGTAACTGCCTTACGAGGTGCGGCAGTTTCTGTCATTACGATGGCCAGAAACGACATATTTTATCGTATAATGAGCATACGCGGCGTACACACGCGAGAGACGTGTTCTTGCATCGAATGATCTTCCGTTCATGTCGATTAACATTTCACTCTCGGGCGAGTCCATGAGAAAACGATTTCATTAGCAACAACAGAAGTGATTAGCAGCAACCGTTCATATTGCATTAGCAGCGTGTCTATCGTTCTTGCGACTCTCGAAAGTAATATGGTAACGTAGAGACGTTCGATGTGAGCGGATAAAATGACTGAGCTTGCTCGCTTGCTAGTCAGCATTGCTATTAGCATTTCGATATGATTTTAGTCACGTATACGTTACTAGTCACGTTCGTCGAAATGTCAGTGTGCAACTTTGATTGTGTTCTCAATTGTTTGAGAAAATCTTCTCTCCCGACAAAGAGTGCGAACTATAAATCTTCGAACGATCTCTGTATTACGCGACGCGTAAGATCACAAATGAGATTCCATTCCAAATTCCGTCGCCAACTATATATAAATCGCCTTAACGGCAAATCTAAAGATCGGAGAGTTAAATTGGATTTTTATATTGATGATACACAGAAAAAAAGTACTGGGTTCAGGCAAATAATTACTCTAATACTCCTTAGCAAATTTTTATTCGGATTAAATAAATTTTACTTAGATGAAGTAAATATTTTACTTAGATAATTTGCTTGGAAAATATTTTACTTGGATTAAGTAAATATTACTTTCACTAGTAATCCGAGTAAAAATTTGCTAAAGCGTATTAGATTAATAATTTATTTGAAATTAGTTTTTCTTTCTGTGTACGATTAAATATCTGTTCAATCAGAGCAATCGAAAGAATCTTATCTCGTTATTATATTAAACATGGATATTAACAACATCATTTTTATGCAATAAAAATACACGTGTAAAGTTAAAAATATATTTTTTCCAGAATTCGCAATTTTACAATATATAATTCCAAAGATTAAAATAATCCATTAACATTCTCCTATATGACGTTATAATTATAATTAGATGTATTATGCGTCACATTAAAATTTAAATCGACAAAACTTAAAATTAATCATACTAGTGTATCATTTTGCAGCGCCTTTTCATGGTGATAGATCGAAATGCCTAACTAAACTTTCATACGAGTTAACGATAAAACAGATACCGTGACTATCCATGAATAGTAAGAGATCTTCATTTGACTTGATGTTAAAATAGATGCCTGAACTATCCACGGACAGTACATTAACACCACTTGGTATTAGAAGGAAAAAGATATTTTTCATATATTTTTGCAGATTTGTTAAGAATCCTGAAACGAAATTTAAAAACAACAGCTGCACTTATAATAACTAATCGTTTATTGTAATTTTTTCACGGTACAGCTTCCATGTACCTGAGTACACGTGACATGATTCTCTAATGAGACATGATGATCAGGTTGCACAGAAACAGGAGACGCGAGATACGAGAAATGCTAATCATTTTACAAGTCTGCTAATAAAAATAAAAACGAAATTGACCATTTTTTCTCCAACTGCCGCGAAATTATAATTATTGACTGTAAATTCGAATGTTAAATACATACCTTTTAAGAAGCCTCTTGGATAAAACGAGAATTGCGTCATTTTTTAGAAAAAAGCTTCTAAAAAAATTGCTTGTTGTATTAATGTACTTGTATTAATTACGTAATTGTTATGTAGTTAATAACAAACTGTCGAAGTAACTGTTTTAGGCTATAGATTATAATATTTAGACGCTCCGGTTTACAGTCAGCATAATTTCCGACTTATAATAGAATAAAGGAGAATTATAGCTATTATTGTAAATTACACACCTTTCATCGTTAATAGACCTTCGCACAAATTACGGAACTAAAGCTAAAGCCAGCAGTATCCAGCTGACCAAGTAGCTAGGAAGCATTTGCTAGACGGTTGAGTCGTAGCAAGTTATAACGGTAAATCTAGGTTTGTCTGGTTCAACGTTAAATTGGACGTATGAATTCATATGAGGCAGAATTCGTCTTTCGAACTCGTATCGCTATCGTGAGCGGCACTTAGTGTTTGCAAGTTAACAATGCATATCATACGTGTCAGACCACCTCTGTCGATGGACTCTGTCAAAAGTTATCCTTTTATTTTAGTTATATTTTTAAGTTATATTTTATTACTGTTGAAAATATTTTTCTTTATTTGCGTGTTCATAGATGACATAAAATTTTCCGCGACGAAAAAAAATCCGTGACGCACATTATATTACCATTTTTGGGGAATAACGAAGAAATACTGAAAACGAGCGCGATTTGATTCGGTCACGTCGAGAAGCACAATTCCGGAATGTCGCGAGAAATGAACAGCAAAATTGCACGTTCGAAGGCGAATGACGACGGTGGAGAAATTAAATAGGCGTTCCACTAATCCTAGGTCGCCATTATTGTTCAGGGATACTCGAAGGTATCCATGATAAATCCAACCTTCGAATTAACAAAGCCGATATCCGGGTTTAATTCTCATTAATCCAAGATCGCATTAATCATCGCCGTATCAACATCGCATAGGTGCAAGGTGCAATTACGCATACGCATCTGATCGATCATTGTAGCGCGACTAACACGCTAATTTTAAGTCGCTGTTTGTTGCGTGGGTGAAAAATATGCAGTGACTCACGCGAGTGCCGCAAAAGCCGATCGCGATAAAGTTCTTTTGTTTCCAATTTCCTCTTCTCTCTCATGCGAATATCGTCACAGTCAACCAATAAAAATATGACAGAAAGAGAGAGACCCATCTACTTCTCTTCTTCTACGTCCGTTAATACGAGAGATCAAAGGAATCTTGCCGCATGCTCCGGTATCACATATACGACGCTCACAGTCGCGCGTTTATCCTTCACGGCAGTTGCGCGCGAGTTCTCCTCTTTAAACTCAAACTTCTGCCGCGCAACTCGCCGATTGGTCGCGTGGGTGGTGGACGAGTACGCGCATGCGAGCGGGCGCACGCGTGCGAGGCTGTGCTCAGTTTACGCCGTGCGGTCGGCGCGAAAGGTACGATTTGTATGTGGCCGTCGCGCCAACGGGAAAGAACGCCTCGTGACCGTGCGTGTTGGATCGCGTACGAGCCAGGTGACTTTCGTCTCGCATGATCTCCACGAAGCGAACGTGAAGCGACGGAAGGAGGCTGCGGCCCCGGATCCACCGCGATGTCGCGGGATTAATGTTCTTCGACGGAGTCAACGCATCTCTTTCTTCTCGTCTCTCTCTCTCTCTCCTTTCTCTCTCTTTCTTTCTCTCCCCCCGTCTCTTTCTTTCTTCGAGTCTTCTCTCCGTCCGTTGGCGTCCCGTTTTCACGTCGGCGTTTGAACATCAGCCAGGCACGCGCTTTTTACGCACCAACGTACTCGTCACACTACACTTCGAGATTTGTGAGTATTTTATCTCGTAGCACCAAAGAGACCGATGACGAGCGCGAGAGCATCACGCGACTGTTTATTTACTTCCGGCCGATACCGAATTGTCCGCCGCGCCCGCGCGCGGACTCTTAATTGAGGAGAGGGCAGCGGACGCCGGATGTGCACGCGCTGTGTCCAATTGCATTCCGCGTATCAGAACCGTGACTTCGGTATAGGTGTTCTTCGCTCGCGTCGGCGCTCGGGCATGTACAGACGTATCGATTTAATTTTCAACGAGGATCCTCTTCCTCTCACACTCGGCTAACGACACATGGAGGAAGTGAAATTTCTAGAGCGGAGTGATCGCACGAGCGATGACATAAAACTACGTTTTGCCCGCTAGAAACGCGTGATCTGGTTGGCGTCCTTTCTTTAAAAACATGACGATGACGCGCAGAGATGGCTCCAGCGATAATGGCGCGATGTAAACAATGTGTTGCCGGCGATGTGAATAACGTCATCATCAGTCGATGAGATTGAACAGTGATTTATATTGATAGAACGCATAATGAGGCGCGAAACAGACCATCCGTTACAATTTGGCTCAATTTTCTTCGACACGCCACCGATAGCTAATGTTACTCAATCGGTCTCGTATTACCCGTCAGCAGCTTCGCAGTGTCGAACTTTATCTCTATGAATCTCGCGCTCGGTATCGAAGTAGATCGATTTCACTAATCCCGACAAACGGGATCTCGAAACGGTCAAATTGTCAAATTCACGCACATAGCGCTTGAGAGATTTCGAATATGAAATATGAAAAGCACGCGTGGATCCGCTTCAGCAGACACAAGAAACCGATGTCGAAATCGGAGGAGATTAATCTTATCGAACCGATGGAATATCCTGCTGAGGTCGTTCAATGTCTTCTCTCCTCTTCTCTCTCTCTCTCTCTCTTACAATGATACAAATATTGGGCTAGTTCAAAAGTTCGTTACGCGTTTAATGTTAATCAATCTTATTAATCTTATCTATTAACCCTTTGCACTCCGCTGTCGCCGTAGCGGCGACATGGTTGTTTTGCTTCCTCGGCACTTTAAGAAATTTTAAGTCCTAAAATTTATGTTTTTCTTTTATAATATAAGTTAGAATATGTTTTGTTATAAAATAGCTAAGAAATAAAAATTTTGTTTTATTGAAACGACTCTATTTTTCTTCTACATCATAGGTATGTACTTGGAACTAATAGCCTCTATGCATTACTAGGCTGGAGTGCAAAGGGTTAATCTTATCAATCTTATTAATCTTATCTATTAATCAATTCTTCGCTCAGAAATTCTAGAATTTCTATGGGAATTGAATCATGTAGCTATATGAAGAAAAATATTTTATTGTTATAGCAAAGCCATCATTGCGTATTCGTTGTAATCTTGATAAAATTTAGTTGGCGTAACCAAATTGGCGAATTATTCGTAATTAGAGCGGAAAGAGTTTTGTCACCAAGATAGAGAAAATATTTTGCTGAGTGAATTTGTTCTTAGGACACATTATTTAATTTGCTGTTAGTACAAAATGGTGTTTTCTTACATTTATTAATTAATTTGTTCTTATAGCAAGATAATTTGCGGATTCAGCAAATAATCCGGCGAATGGCAATTAGTATTCTCAACAAGTCGTTTCGCTATCCGTATAGTAAATGACAGATTTTCCTGTGGCAATAAATTATTTTTCTCCGTGATACCGGAGAGATGGCAGGTCGTCGAACAAAACGACGCATATTTAATTGATTAATTGTACCTTAAAGTAAATAAATGTGTCATACGTGCGCGTACATTTTCATTGAGAAACAGAATGAACTTTGCATTAACCAAATAATATACAGCGGTAAGTGAAGATCGAGATCTCTCTCTCTCCCGAGACTCTCGGTCGCGAGAGTTACTCACTGTAGTAGTATATTGTACACTCACACACGTGTTATGTAATTATAAGTGATAACTGTCGTGTTTGGCATACAGGACATTATGTATAGCGCGCCAGCGGTATTGACTCCATCCGTGATTCACACGCGGCTTTGTCTTGAGAGGAGGAGGAGGAGGTCGCGTGTGAATATATGCGGATAACATCGGCACGTGTTACGTGTGAGAATCGCTTCGCATTTCTTTCACGCACACATTCACCTTCCCGCTCAAGAGAGTTCCATTGAAAAGAGAGAAAGAGTTCGATCCTCAGTACCTCCCGTCTCATTTCGAAGGCCGGAATTTTGTTAGATGGGTATACTAAACACCGCTATCTAGTTATTTTAGAGTTAAACACTAAACATCATTTCATCATTAAATTTAAATCTCGCGTCGTTTCTTCTTTCGTTCCTTTTTTTTTCCGTAGCCTTTTAATCGCCGCTGTCAGTGTTTATATTTATTCGGTTTCATCGATAACCAAACTTCGTCGATCTACGAGATCTGTAATCTCATGATGCGTACCAGTATATCCGATATAAATACACTTGACTCTTCAATGAGCAAAAACAACGTTTCCTCTCCCATTCTTTTCGTTTTTTTTTTCGCGTCGCTAGGATGTTTTTCACGAAATTTGGGCAACGACACGGATGTCGATACGTATGCGCACAATAAATGCGACATATCCAAAGCAAATGTATCCTTATACATATTGGATATACGTCGCGTCTACTGGCACGTGGACTGGAATTCGAAACGGAGAAATTCCAGGAACCAGAAAACTCTATCTGACCATTATATCACGTGCGCGATGCCGCATACAAAAGCGCTTTTATTGTTCGGTTTCTCCATCGAGGAATGTATCTCCGTCTTTTTTTACGTCCTTATCCAAATTTTGAGCGTTTTTTAGCACGCAATTATAGAATCACTTAGTTCTTCATATAATGCCGATATTTACAAGTACTGATGCTCGAGATGCGTTTCAGTATCTCGTGCAACAATTGTCTCTTTATCTTATCTTTGTTTAATTTTACTTCCTTTACTTGATTTTCGCTTGTTTTACCGCAGCTCTATCGTGATGATGAAACGACATTTAATATCACGCCATAAGTGTCTTGGCTGATCAAATGTTATCTTGCTATTTTTCTATTCATGCGTTGGTCGATTGACCACACAGATACGCTGTATGAATCGCGATCTGAACGAATTGTCGGACTGTCGGGGATAACTGCGCCTTTGAATTCTCGAAATGACTCGATTAGTATGCAGGTAAATGTCGGACACACCTTTAGTAATCCGAGAGAACGAAATAAAGGTTTATGTGTTTGTCGAGTTGCAGCAGAACGTAATATTATCAATGACAGCACTCTTCACGAGTATACTTACGCATGCATGCGCAATTGCACAATTATCTGTTGTCACCTGTTGTCACCTGTTGATGTAATCAACGATTCGGTTATCTCCCGCACACATTATCGGGCTCCATGACGAAAGAGAGTCGTTACATATCTGCAAAGGAACTTTCCACCACGATCGAGGCGTTTCGATTCAGAAGAAATGTTTGCATTATGTTTTATGCAACGACCGATAAAATTCGTTGCGCTGATACCTTCGATGTAACGCTACTCGCACACCTTGCCCGTGAAACGAATCGCTCATTCGATCTGTGAATCTGTTCCAGTCGAAATTTTGTTTTGCAGTAGCAGTAAGAGTACAGTAAAAGTACAGTAAATCTGTATAATTGGAGGTCCAAGAGAGAAGTTAACAAACGTATCGTCAAAATGAGTTTTTCTAGTTTTACTAGTCTATAGAATCTAAATAGACGTAAGTTATCTTTAACATTTTGACGGTTACACTTATTTCGTAAAAATTTTAACTGCCGTCAACAGATTTCTGCAGTTCACTTAGACGATATTTAAAGAGACAATATTCCCCTGTACATAAATTCGCGTGCGTGTGCATCTCGTTTTATATATAACTTCTATAAAATTACAATTGTAAGTCATATAGTCTAAACTAGTCTGTTTAGAGTCTATATGATTTTAATATCGTCCCTTTGTATATGAATAACTATTAGATATAACAATTTTTTTTTTTTTATTTAATGGTACTAAAACATCTGTGCTCTGGATTTTAATGACTTGCCTTCCTCCCCTTAATTAATTAATTAATTAATTAAATAGAGTCCGTTATGTTTCTTATTAGAATTACATGTCAAGAATATTATACTTCTGAACAGAACCTGTGTAGATTTTCCAGCTGCATGTCAAGAATATTATACTTCTGAACAGAACCTGCATAGATTTTCCAGCTGGAATTCATAATTATTTTGAAAAATCGAACTGGGATTCCAACTAAATCTCAAGAAATTTTTTACACGGGATGTCATATAAATCGAGCACGAATGCGTCCGGGCGATCTCTCCGTAAATTTTCGACACTTCACCGGCGATTTGACCGGTAATATCCCCGGACACGCATACAAAGCGATTCTCCGAGGGTCTCGTTTAAGTTACCGGCGATGGCATTCGGTGACGTCACGTTAAGAGAGAGCGAGGCGTTTAAGTAGGTTAGATGCCCCGGACACGAGAGACGATCGACTATTGGTCACAGAACATGGTCACGAACGAATCGACGCGTGTGAGTTTACTCGGCGCCAACGCAACGAAAAAGAGGGTCCGTTTACCGTCCATTTTTAGGTCACTTTGCGTGCGTGCGTTAAAATGCAAGGCGCCGCGTGCATCGGACGAGGGATAACTCGAGCCTTGACCACCTTCGCAGTCGCGCGCAATTTGCGTTACATTCGCGTTGGGGAGCTAGAAAAGAGGGAGAGAGAAAGAGGGAGAGAGAAAGAGAGAGAGAGGGTCTATCGGTTTCTTCGCTTTGTCGAATTTTCGCTGGAAGAAGAAGATCTCTCTCTCTCTCTCTCTCTCTCTGTATCAAGTAATTCCAGATAATTTCAGTTGCGATTATTCTTATCGCCGTCGTTACAATTAGTTTTTATTTACGACGGTCAAGTCGCGTGTTGAGCACTTTCGAAACTGAAAATAGCCACGTGTAAAGGAAGCAATGGTAACCACCG